TACATTACAGGTTTCACTAATGATTATAGCATATGATAAATCACATGTCAAAAGAATTACCTGATTCAAGAGCTGGAAAATAACCTTTGGTGTGGCAGGCACTTCCTCTCTCACTACATCTCCATCCTGAGCTTGCAAGCATCTAATAAGTTGTTCCACTTACATAATTTTAAATAATCAGATGCCAGACACAAAGTCTTGCACCTGATAAATTGAAAGAATAGCCTCCACATCATCAATAATCTACAAAAAAGATTAATTATCAAGGTTCAAAAATGTCAAACTAGTAGCATAGACTGCATAACGATTAGCGATACAACATGCATATATGAATACCGTACTTAACCGTTTAGGGTTCAACAAACAGAAGTGAAATGCTGATGAATGATGACTAGAAACCAAAAGCTCATCTGACTTATAACGTTGGCCAATATAAACCATCTGCTCGTCATGCTTGCAACTAACATCATTATCCATTGCAATTTGCAAGTCTACCCACAAATGATGCAATCAGCGGCAAGCTATTAGCTATGCATCTACTTTAAGTATTTATAAGTATCATATCTAACCATTTGTAGAAATCAGTTCCATTCAACACCAAAGTACTTATAAGTATATATAATTTATTAAATTTACAACTTTAATCTGAAACTTGATCATGACCTCTTAAGAACCAACAGAAAACAGGCAATCTTAAACCAATTAATCACCCCAATACAAGAGCTGAAACACTTACCAAGGTTCAAAAGGGAAATGCTGGAGTATCTGTTCTGCTCTAGTCAAGCACCGAATTTGAGTAGTTCTCAGCCACAGCTAATCAACAAAATTCATCCATATATACTTGATATTAAGCATCAATCTATCACCCCTGCATGATTATAAAAGACAAAAGGCTGTGTTATGAAGAATAAAACGAAACCAGAAGACAATGACAAATACTCTTCCCAGATAACAACTTCAACATTTCAAATTCAATACCGCTAGGAAGAATTTGAGACCACTATCAATTGATGACTCCAATTCATTAGTCACCCAAAGTATCAGCACTCTCATACCTTCCCAACAACAACAATACAAATTTAGAAACGAATTAAGGAGAATTCCTCCATTTTCTCCTAACACCACTAGATCCGTAGCAAGTAATTAGGAACGAGCCAAAAGCATAACAACAATTGAACCAAGAACTAGATAAAGTAAAGCGAATCTAAAAGGAAAAACATCAAACAAACGAGAAAAGAACTTGGAATTCAAATTCAAGCTGCTGAATCTAACATCCGTCTTGCCAACTTCATCGCTCCTACTTCCTAGAGATGGAGACAAAGTAGCAACCGAAGAAACCAACACTTTATCATAGAGAGAGCTCATGCGCGCTCGAGACAGAGAGACAGAGAGCAAGAGACAGAGACAGAGAGTGCGAGAGAGTGAGAAAGAACCGTATCATAGAGTCGAAGAATCAGAGAATTTCCACTGCCTTTCGCCGGATAGAGAGAGAGAGGTGGGAGAATTGCCACTGATTCCACGGGAGTGAGCGAGCGTCACCGGATCGAGAGAGAGGTCGGAGAATCGCCACTGATTCCACGGGAGTGAGAGAGAGAGAGAAATTTTTGTTTTCATTTGGCGGAGGAGCTGAAAATTGGGGCTTTTGTTCGATAGAGAGGTGACGAGTAGTTTATTGTCGCGGTGGAGAGTTTCCCAATTTGTGGAGATATTAGTCAAATTAGTAGCAGGGGTTTATCAACCCCTAAAACAAACCCTTGAGACAGTAAGTTCCGAGAAAACTAGCAGGGGTTTAATGCACCCTTGGTACATAACCCTCGGCAAAACTCTTTTTTTTTGTAGTGTTGGATCCATTTACTACGTGGTGGACGAAGAAGAAAACGATCTACAACTACTCCACATGTATTTGTGGGCGGGTTTAATTGGCTGATTGCGAATGATGGACGGTCAGATATGTTTGATGGGTTTACATAATATACATTACAAAAAGTAACATAGTTTGAAGAGAGTTCTCTAAACTAAATTAGCTTTTAATTCATAAATCGTATCCATCTTTTAATTTACAATATTATTATTAGTAGTTGTTCACATATCACAAGAATATTCAACTAATAAACATGGTATGAGTTTAATAATTAACCGAACTAAAAGATGAAGATGAAGCTTATCTTAATCTAGCTAATATTCCAAGTACTCAAACTACAATCACTTACACAAACCCATTTGATTTTCTAAGACTTCAAAACACAATCACTTACCAAACACTAAAACCGAACTATAGAATAAGCCAAATTAGCATACAAATAACAAAAGTTAGCAAGGAATCATAGAATGTAGTGAATCTAATGATACCGATTTTCAGTCACAAAAACAAATTAGACTTTGTCACCGCCGCTAGAAGGAGAACAGAGAAAAGGAGGGTCGTCATTTTCTGCTGGCTAATGATCTTCATTCGGTGAGGACAAGGAAAAGAAGAGAATTGCCGGGGAAGTAAGGGCATGAATCCACCACAGTTTCAATAGTCAAAGGAGAGGAATCGAGTTGATTACATTGTTGTTGGGAAATTGTTTGATCAAAGTTTTTCCTATCTCATCGTTACTATATTAAAGCCTAACTACGGAATAGAAAGGCCAGGTGTTTACTAATTTAGCATACATTTTTTCGTTCCTTGTGCGTGTAGTCTACTAGTGTACGGTCTAATCTTGATTTTTTTTTTCTTCAAAATGACCAAGTTGTACTATAAAAAAAAAATTCTCTAAATACATAGACTAATATTATAAGAAAATCTTAAAACTACACATGTTTGAACCAGATCACTTTAGATCAACACGGATGAAGCATTGGCCGCTACAGGCGGGAAGCGATCTAGATAAATCATTGCACGCAAAAACTTTGCAATGATCAGATAATCGAGCGCAAAGTTACGGCCGTTTTAAGTTCCACTGCGTGTGAGGTGAAACTCTCTGGAGCTACCGATTTTGCAGCTAGATTGCTAGAGTATGCAACAATATATCTAGATCGATTCCTTTCCTCTGCAGGGTTCAATACTTTATCACATTTATCGGAAGCGTTCAACATTAAGTCTCAAGCAACCGGGTCGAAACAGGTGTATTTCGAAAATTTCTTATAAAACAAACGTACTTCGATGATTTTTATAGCAACCTATATATATACTTTGCACAAAAATCCCTCTAATCTAGTAATTTGAGTGATAATCTAAATTATTCCTGTCATTTTATTTTCTTGACCATAAATATTGCACTTTTAGGAGAAAAGAAAACATAAATATATTCCTTATATGAATCATATGATTGATCTTTCATACATTTTTTAAGATACCACGCATTTCATGTGTAATGTTGATTAATATTTTCTTCACCCTTTCTCAGCCTAAACGCTGAAGTTAGGTTTTGATAACACTTGCAAGTTAACCTAATGAATTATAGATTATGCGAATGAAATGACCAGAGTGTTTCCCTACTGGATAGCTGCTAACACTCTTTGTGTTATTATGACGATAATAATAGGCAACTAAAAAGTTAGAATTAGGTAGACTTTTGCGTTAAATATGTTGATTATGTATAGAAATTAATAGAGGAAAAATATACTAAGATCTTTTACAAATTGTATTATGTAATATTAATTTTATGGATTACACCTTTTAGTCACTGAAATCCGGTTACTGATCACCGTGAACTGGTCACCAAAACCTGGTCACAAGCCATCAGATGCTGGAATTCATTGATCAGACACCGAAAATGAAAAACTGTGGCCGGCGACAAATTCCAACATCCAAGTGTTTTCTTGTGGTCTGATTTTGACAATGGTGACGGGGAAGATGAATGCATACAAAAAATACCACAAATATGTAAGAACACATACAAGAAACACAATAATGTATAAAAAATAGGTTTGTCATAGGTGTGTAGCATATAAACATATTTGTGAGAAAATTAAGATATTCTGTCATATTTTTCTCCTGATGCCTCTTTAACCTAATGCATTCTTCGACTTAAAATTTAGAAGTAGATTTAATATAGATTTTGTTTCACGTAATTTTTTTTTCTTTTGTACAATTTTAGAAGAATGACATATCAGATACGTTCGCTTATAACCTCTTTAGCTTATTTTGGCAAATGTTTGTGAAAAAAACTATACATATGGTGAAGCAAACTATATTTCATTAAAATTCAAACAATATCTATACATTTTGATAAAAAAAAATTCGAATATTTATTTGTTTGAAATTTTAATTAGCTATATAATATTTTGGTACTGTAGAATAGTTATTTTTTTTGTGTTGGGTTGGATTCTACTATCGCCCACCAACCTAACCCAATTATAAACGAAATCTTAAGGTTCTAATTTTTTTGATGAGTTTGAATAGTATTTTCAAAACCGTAATGTATAAATCGGGCGATTACAATATCTAAATAGTAAATCCAATCCACCCAATTCATATACAAACCTAATGATGGGCATACTCAACGCAATAATACAAGTGTCCAATGCATAAACTCACACTATGGCCCCCGTATAACACAATTAATATGAAAATAGACAGCGCAACTAAAACTTAGTTTTAAATACACCAATCAAAGCACAGCCTAACTCATTCTAATTATTTTCTGGGATAATCTCAATCCTTCTTCTGCCTTCATGGATTCAATTACATCTTTAGCTGCCTCAATTCCTGCCACAATAAACAGCAAAGCTCACAAAAGAACCTAGCCCGGAATTCAAAAAGGAAAAGCAAGAAATTGAAATGTTAGTGCAATTTTGTATCGTCTTACAATTTACGTACAAAATCTAAATTTTTTGCGCACCATCTTACTAATTATTCACATATATAATTTCATCTATCAATCAGTCATTTTTTCACGTGATCAAATAGATTTAATTAATAACCAATCACATTGTATCATCAACCACTTATCATTTCATAATTGCTAAAATTAAAAAAAAATCATAAAGAAAAATAAAATAGTGAAATAATAGAATTTTTAAATGGTATAAAGAGGACAAGCAGGCAACCAACCTGCTAAGTAAGCTCCAGTCGCGTATCCCAAATATCTACTGTTAGTGTGCTCCCCGGTAAAATAAACCGAACCAACACGAGCCTGTGCATAATGTTTATTCACACATGTTATTGTTGCCTAAACAGAGTTGACAATCAAAATTTTTTGCACACAATAATAAGTTACCTTGAGTTGGTCATGTTTAGCTTTGGTGTAACCATTCGGCCAATTCGAGTAGCTGCCCTTGTAGAGCCTGTCCATCGACCACCTAGGCACCAATATTTGTTCTGGGTTCGGAATGCGATCCCCGTACATCTTTCTTAGAACGTCCATGGCCTCTCTCTGTACTGCCTCATTCGATAACTTCTCCACCCTTCTCGACTCTTCCGACGTTATTGTAACGAATAGTATGTTTGAACCCGGATACTCATTCTCGAGATGCTGCATATGCAAACAAGCGATCAACTGCTTTTCAGGGGAAGATGATGGGCCATCTGGAGTAGTTAGTCAGTTGGATTTCAATGTTGAAGTGCGGTTTACCTGCCAAAACGGGTAATATCCTCGACGAGAGTGGGCGTAGAGAGAAAACTCCGTTCCAGGACCAGTTGGCCAAAACTTGTAAGGAAATTTCAGGAAAATCTTGGTGTAAACTGACATATCGAATTCCGATATCGCATTCATCTTCCACATCTGACGGTGGTTGTTCACAAATACATACCAATCAATCAACATATAAAATATGGAATCGTGATTAGGAAGAGAAAAAAATTGTAGTGGAACTCACCGGTAAGGTTGGAGTGAAGCGAATGAGATTACTCTGAAGCACTCCAATGCTAACAGACACAACGACATATTTAGCTCGGTACGTAGAACCGTCCTCTAATTTCACTCCGACTCCTCTTTCTGAGTAGAATATCTCCTTCACAACCTGGAAAAAAAAAGTTTGGATTATAAATTTTGATACAACAAGATGTATGGATATGGATGCACATATGTAATTAACACACCTTGTTCAGCAAGATCTTGTGCTGGCTGCTACGGTTCGAAAACCGGCATGCTAGGCCCCGTACCAACTCCTCGAACCCTCTCGAGTCACACACGAAATTCGACAGCTTGCCATGGTCCTTGAACTCGCGACGAGGGTACGTGTGCTTCAAGCTCGTAACCGTGGTTGCCTCTGCTTCTTCATAGTCGTTGTGGTAGTAGTCTATCACCATCACCAATGGAGTCGATGGAAGACTGCCCCCAAGAGAATGAAAAAATGTTAACAAGGACACCACTCTGTAACACTGTATCATGTTTAATGTTAGGTCTTATAGAAACCCTACTTTCCAAATAGGCGTTGTGCTTCCAGAACAGACACATCAATGTCGACGCCTTTTGTTTTGGACATGGCAGCTAACTTTTCAGAAAGCCTTTCACAGAAACTCTCTGTGGAAGAAGCAGCCATTTCAACTTCATCCACCAGTTTCTTGGGGAACAAGCCTCCTCTGTTTTTTTTTTTTTCAATCCCACCAAACGTGCTCTGTCAGTTCGACATTTAGAAGGATTTAATTTCTTGCTACGAGAGAGGGAATGGAAGGGGAACTACTAAAATTAACAGTACTCTTGTCTGTAGACATTCGCCGTGATGTTGGAGTCGTCGTTGAGTGAAGTTCTGAGCCTGGTTTTGTTGGCCAGAGAAGCTAAAGGGTTCTGCAGAGGACCTCCTGTGTAGAACCAATTCGCGCCCATTTCGACCGTGTAACCGCCGAGCTCTGCCTTCATCATTCGCCCGCCGATCCTCGAGCTGCCTTCCAGGATCAGAATGTCTCTGATCCCGGCTTCATAAAGCGCATTTGCGGTAGAAATTCCTGATGACACACAGAAAGTTCAGCAGCTTGCGTGGGTAGCAAGCAAAAGGGAAGAGAGGCAGAGGGGTGACATAAATTAATTAACCTGAGATTCCAGCGCCGATGACGATGACTGATTCCCGGCGTGAACCTGCAGCTGCTGCCACCGCCGTTAGGAGCAGAGTAAGAACAAGGTTCTCTGTAGGCTTCTTGCTCATCTTCAATGAGGAAAATGATTACATGCAGAAATGAAGGGGAAATTGAAAGAGGGAAGTGTAGCTAAACATGGAAACTGGGGTTTGACAAAACTTGCAAGCTGAACTATCATGTTGGGGAGTCAGCTAAGATAATAATGAATTGTATATTCTAGTCTAGTAGATGTTATGCACAAAAGAAGGGACAAATGAATTGTCTTTCCTAACATTGTAATTGTCAAAATTAGGTAGGTGAGGTTTGTGAGGTATACAATCAGTAGACCTGAGAAATTTCAGAGTCCTGAAGAGGAAAGGGGAACAACAAAGTAGGGTTAAAGAACCTGAAGAGTGAGTGGACGGGAGAAATGATCGATATGGTCACTATACTCAATTATAACAAATCACGACAATAAACTCTGATTTGGGACGACTAGACATTGAGTTTGGTTATGTAGGTCAAAATAAACATTGGTCACTGAATGTACATACTCAAAAATATTTCGTCAACTTAATCTATTTCTTCACAAATTAATCCTAACCTAACTCTGTATCAAACTTTCGGTTTGTAAAAGGGATATAAAGGTTTTTTTTTCAAAGGATCTTATACCAAATTATTATTAGTTTGCTCCTATTAAGAACTAGTCAAGAGCTTTTATGAAATAGAAAAAAATATTTACAATATTGTCAAATTTTATTCAACCTCTTGAATTTGAAAGTGTATTGAAAACTGGCATCAAATCCAAGTGTGAATTTACACTCTGAAGAATATGTCTTCAAATTCGTTCTCTTTAGAGACAACTCTCCCTGAATAACTTGAAATTCTCTGCCAAAGCATTCAACTTGAGTGTGAATGCGACGCTAAGTTAGTCAGGTTTGACTTAAACTTTGAGTTTTACACTCATCTTGGTTTCTTGTAAAATTATGAACTAAAAAAATTGGTTTAAAACTTCAAAGAACCAAAATATAATTAAAATTAGTGGTTTCCTCAAATTAGGACGAAAAACAGATGAAGTGGCTCACACATTTAAATTTGTCCATGTCGTAATTGGGCAGCCTATTAATACGATATTGTCCGCTTTGGGCCAAGCCCGTATGGTTTTAATTTTGAGTGTCCTCCCCAAAAAGCCTCGTACTAATGAGCTTGGTGGACACTAATATACAAGGGTTCCTTCCCTTGTATTTCCGATGTGATACTTGGATTGTCCACCAAACAGATGCGAATCACCTTTGATTCGCCAGACAAACGCAGATCTCAAATTCGGAGGTCGCTGAATGAGGGTCCACCAAGCTGACGTCCACCGCCCCGGATCCGCACCAGGCTCTGATACCACTTGTCATAAGTGGGCAGCCCATTAGTACGATATTGTCCGCTTTGGGCCAAACCCACACGGTTTTACTCTTTAGTGTCATTCCAAAAAGGCCTCGCACTAATGAGCTTGATAGACACTAATATACTAGGGTTCCTTCCCTTGTATTTCTCATGTGGTACTTGGATTGTCCCATAACCGTCGAATTTAGTGCTTTAGCTGTTGCAAATCATAGTCTTCTGTCTAATATGGCCTGTCTAATACTTGCAAGCTGAAATCAACTAATCAATTCCCTCGACAACAAGCTAGACGACATGGTCACGCTAAGTTGCTAGAGCAGAAGAGTCCAATAATGGCGTTGCTTCTGGAGAAACTTTTGCACTCAGCTCACCTTATAAATGACCTGATAGGATTCCTGCTTGCGGCCAAGCTGCTGCTGGTGGGATCGGATCAGGGGAATAGATAGATTGCTGGTGGTGGAGAAGTAGGTCCGCCACCGCCATGCCTTTCTCTTCTTACACCCATTAATAAGCTAAGTAAATGAATCTATTATCTATATGTATGTGGTTAACAAAAATGCTTCATTTAAGTACATTCTTGAAACGACAAGGAAAAATTTTAAGTGAAAAGATTTGCAGCCAACTCCATTATTATTTGTCACCAAATCTTTTTTTTTATAAAAGATTTTCAAAATTCATCTCCACAAAACCATACATACAACCCGGCGAACTGAAATATCTTAGTAACCAGAGGAAAAGAAAGCAAAAGTGATTCCCGTAGTAGCGGCGAGTGAAACGGGAGCATCCTTAAAAAATTTGAAGTGAAATTTTTTTTTTCTAGAGATATCCATTTTCCGGGAGCGACCGATGAGATATCGCGTTAGAGTGATATCTTGATACCACCGGCAATAGTAACAGCAAATTCTTAAAAATATACAACTTCAATTTTCATTGGTAGCCGGTAGGGCAAAAGGTTTCGATTGGGCAGAAAGATTCCTTCAACCCTGATTGGTCAGTGCCGCTAGATTCTTTCGGCCCGTTTGTCGGCCAAACGAAAAAAACCAGTCGTTCCAATGGTTTTGACCAATTACACTATGACCGGTCGAACCAGTTTGGTCGTAATTAATATAAAATATAGTTATTTTAGTTTATAATAATTTTTTATTGATTAAAAAGTAAAAAAATTGTATTAAATAGTTTAAGATTATATTGAATCAAAGTAATTAAGTAGATATGTGTAGATTAAGTAGTAAAATTAGTGGATAATTAAAAATTAACTCTAGAATTGTGTTAATGTGTAGATTAATTGCATAAACTAGTTGACAATTACTTTAAATTAAATATGTAGATTAACTATGTAAATTATTAAATAATTAAATATAACTCTAAAAGTGTGTATTTAGGTGGAATAATAACATGAATTAGTGTGATTCCACACTCGTTTAATTGCATACATGTGACATGATCCGAGGCTGCCACTTGCTAATTCTATTTAGGGTTTGTATTCTATCTAGGGCACTTTAACTCCTTCTTGCTCCAAACAATCCCAAACTATTTTCACCGTGTATTTATTCATTACCTCCCATCCCAAAGTACTCCATTTCGAGATGTTGTCATGTGCCATATGCTACCATTGCCTTGGTCTTGAGAATTTTGTTCCATTATACTTAGACAAACTTAAGTCCTAGAGGGGGGAAAGCAGGTGGATGGGGCTTGTGTAGTTGTATTTTGTGTCCAGATGGAACCGAATGTCGAAGTCATCTAATTTCGTATTGTGGGATTGTCCGAAGCTTGTTTTCTCTCCAACACTGGTGGATTTGGATGCTTTGGTTGCCTGGCTAATAGTCATTAGGTTGGATCTGGCGTCAGGTGTGTGAGTCGTCAGGTTGTACGGTCAGAGGGTTCTTGTTTCTCTTGTGCACCTTAGTTACTTCGCATTTTCAAAGTAGGATGATATGATTGGCGAAGAGTAACTTGAGATTGCAGACGAGTTTGGCAATGCTGGAGCCGGGCTAGTGAGAAACAAACACAGGAGCTTTGCACATTGACAGTTGATTTGATATATGGTTTGTTAATTAGGTTTTCCCTATTGTTCGTAGTAGTTTTCATTTTTCGGTCTCTCACTCGATATGTAGTACATTTTGGTGATTATACTTTTTTTTTTTTTGGGAGAGGTGGCCTATAATTTGCCTACTATGAAGTATGAACAATGAAACAAGTCAAGCGGTTCTAATCTCTTGAAGCATTGTGTCACACTCAGTGCATCAGTAGTCATCTCCCTTTTTCTCATTGTTTTATCACATTTTGCATATCACTCAGCAAAAATTATCAACAGCCACAAAAAAAAAAAAAGTTGCCTAAGCCCAATTGCACTGCACACGTGTCATTCCAAAATCTGGCTTTTCGACGAGACATGTTCCCCCTGTATCAAGGTACTGCTATACCTTCAATCAAAGATTATAAAAACGGTTCCACAGACCACAATATGTCAGAAGAACATTTAATATTATGTAATATAATCTTCCATCGGCCCTCCTCTGGAAACATCTTTCTTCTACATTACAGAATCATCCAGTCCTCCATTTGGGTTATCAGAGTTCCATGTCTATATAATCTCCTGAAACTACTTCTTCTTCTTCTTCTTCTTCAACTTGCTCTGTTCCTGAGGAATTGCTAACGATGAATCAACCTGAAGAGTCCTGCTCGTCCGGAATCCTGCAGAACCATTGTCGAGAAGAAAAGCAAGAATGCAACGACGACAACAACCTGCCACAAATCACGCAGGAGCTCCGCAAGTTGCTGAAACTGGCAGGACCCTTGCTCTTCGTCAGTCTCCTGCAGTTCAGCCTCCAGATCACGTCGGTCATCTTCGTCGGCCACCTCGGCGCGCTCCACCTCGCCTCCGCTTCCCTAACAACCTCGATCGCCGGCCTAACCGGTTACAACGTCATGGTCGGAACTCAGAACTCAGAACAACTCTGTTTTTTTTACTCTGTTTTTTACTCCTTCTGAGAGTTCTGCACAATCCAAAAAAAATTGACATCAATATTTCTTGCAGATAGGGATGGCGGCGGCACTCGAGACGCTCTGCGGGCGAGCCTACGGAGCGAAACAGCCCCACATGCTCGGCATCCACACGCAGAGAGCAATGCTGACGTTCACAATCCTCTGCATCCCGATCTCGGTCCTGTGGTCCTTCACGGGACCGATCCTCAGGTTCCTGAAGCAGAACGAGGCGATCTCGACGCTCGCGGGTGAGTCCACGCCCTGGCTGATCCCGAGCATTTTCCCGTTCGGGATCATCCAGTGTCAGAACCGCTTCCTGCAGACGCAGAACATCACGCTGCCCCAGATGGTGAGCAGCGCGGTGGGCTGCGTCGTCCACGCCCTGTCCTGCTGGGTGCTCATTTTCAGGCTCGACATGGGGAACAGGGGAGCCTGCCTCGCCAACGGCGTCACTTACTCGACGGTCGCGGTCATGCTTACCGCCTACATCAAGTTCTCGGGTCGGTGTGACGATACCTGGACCGGTTTCAGCCTGGAGTGTGCTCGAGACGTCGTTTCGTTCCTGAGGTTAGGCGTGCCTTCGGGGCTCATGACGTGGTGAGTTTTATTTCGTTACAACCAGTTCGCGTGTCGATAATAATTCGAGTAATTGGAAAGACGTGATTGTGAATGTTTGGACAGTTTGGAGTTTTGGTCTTATCAGGTTTTCATCATACTGGCTGGACTCCTCCCAAATGCACAACTTGAGACCTCTATGATGTTGATCAGGTATGCACTAATAACTACTTATGTTGTTCCAAACATCGTCGAAATTCATTACTACCGATGTTAGTCTCCAGTAAGGTCGATTTTTAACGATATGGAATTTTTAACATACGAATACACGAATAGGGGCGAAAACCCTAAACCCACCTACTATGAAATTGAAGCTGAGTGTTGTTGTCCATTGTGTGCAGCCTCAACACATCCGCCATGGCGTTCAGGATCCCCATGAGCCTTGGCAGCGCCATAAGGTAATCAATCAATCAATCAATCTTTGTAACCTTCAGCCGATTGATGGTGACGGAAGCGCTAAGTTACAAGGCTGCAGGGCAATCGATCATCACCTTACGAATGTCGTTATTTGCTTTCAATTAATTAATGGGTAATTAACTTCTTCCTTTCAACTCCTCTGTCTCTGTCACTGAAGCACCAGAGTGTCCAAGGAACTGGGCGCCGGCAATCCAGAGGCAGCCAGGCTGGCCGTACGGGTGGTGCTATTCCTAGTCGTTTTCCAGGGGCTGCTGGCGAGCTCCATCGCCACCGCGGCTCGCCACGTGTTGGGATTCTTGTACACCGACGACAGGCGATTGGTCGTATACTTGGCTAGTGTCGTTCCGATTCTCGCTGCATCCAACTTCATCGATGGAATCCATGGCGTCTTGTCAGGTAATCAGCTTAAAACAATTCTACTAGTTGACCAAATGAGGTCATTTTCGGGTTACTTAACGGTTGGGTAATGTATGTAGTAGATCAATGAACATTTGTCACACGTCAACGTTGTTCACTTATTACCGTCATTTTCCGGCCGCCGTTCAGGTTGCGCCAGAGGATGCGGGTGGCAGGAAAGAGTTGCGTACATAAGCTTGGGTTCCTATTACCTTGTCGGGATTCCGGTTGCTGCCAGCTTTACCTTCCTAGGCCATCTTCAAGGAAAGGTAAAAGGACAAAAATATTAAGGAATTTTGATCGACTAAGTTGGTCGTTGTTTTGAATTTGGCACCGAATTTGGGTACGATGTCGATGGGTCTAGACGTCGACGTTCGTCGATCCAGCGAATTTTGCAAACGTTAACGCGTGTGCGTGTGTGTATACGTGGGCAGGGGTTTTTGCTGGGGATTATTGCCGGGAGCACGGTGAAGGCCGGTGCGCTGTTGATCATGACAATCGGGACCAACTGGGAGCACGAAGTAATTGTTACATAACATACTCTTTGGTCTCAATTCATTATTTTTTTTTCCCCCAATCTCATTTTCCTAATGTTTGATTATTCAATGAAAACTGTATATGTGCAGGCGAAGAAAGCGAAGAGAAATGTGGATGCGTCGAGTCTTCCTGTAGAGATGCTACGTTCAGCGAGTAGGTCCTGTTCCATGGAGAGGCGCCGGAGCTTTCAGGGAAGTGTTTCCGCCTGACCGCCATCATAACAACCGGCAATAGATGTTGAATCTTGTAGAGAGTTATACGCGTAATATGCTTTTTTTGTCTTGTAATTTTGTTTTTTTTTTCTCGATTGTGTGTTTGTATTATAAATCACAGAAGAATTCTCAAATAATACGTCTCAATTAGTTTTTCACCCCAAATTTGTTAAATCCAAGGTTGTCAACCTGTTCTAATCTGTTGGTACGGTCGAGGAAGTGGGTTGAGCGTTAATGGGCCGACCGGTTTAGCCCGGTTTAGCACAGTTACATGTAAAAAGTAATTATATTGTTCATACAATTATAGATTATATCAAATCTCATCCAACATGTGAGTAATAACATATAACATTACACAAAAATAATATGTTGTACTTGGATCCAACATTTAGTGAAATTCACATACTTATATAACATTAATATTAAAATGTTCAACTTAGAATTCCAAAAAATAGGGTCAGGCGAAGAGGAAAACCGTAAAATAGACATATTTCACAAACCAAAGGGAAAACGAAATCGTGTGACCCCCTACCTGGTAACATTACGGTGGGTCGACCCGGTTGATGTGTATGATCCATTTTTCTCATTGGGTCAGGGTCAAAATAGGTCAATCTATGAGTCGACCCACGATTGACAACTTTGGTTAAATCAATTCCAACCACGATCTCGCCAACGAAAAATGGAAGGAGTTAAGTCAATTTTTACTCGCCCCGTCCCTTCTTGTCCATATGTTCTTACAAGGATGTGAAAACGTTGTATTTGATCACCGGACTGAACCGAAATAGAATAATATCAAAAAGTTAAAATAAACTAAGAACTAGATGAAAAGTACATTTGGTATAATGTGATCCACTTTTTTTTTTTATTAATTATGAACATATTTCACGTAGTGACTAGTGTTACTAAATCGTATTACATTCGCTTCTACACGCCGGTTCCATCCTAATGTCGACTCAATCAAATTGACCAGACAGTTGTACAACCCTACATTGTGACATCAAATATATCCACCAAGTAATCATAGAAGCAAATCTTGGGCAAATGCCATCTTTCAGTTCACATTAAATGACATGCATGGGAAAAAGGGCATTCATTCCCTACTTACTCGTTTCTAGCTTGTCTCTGTTAATGGCGATCGAGGCCCCTGGATGTGGACAAGAGCAGTATTTGGTGCCACTACATCCTTTTTGCTGACATTACATTTTAACTACCTATTAAAATGGGATTTTCTTTTTATAAGCATGATATAGGTTTGTTTTTTTATGGTTAGATACTATTTAAACGATTTGAATTTGTAACCTATAAATTCAAAACTAGTGATACTACACCAAATTCTTGTTCGTAAAATTAGATAATTATTTTTTAATATAACCTAATAGCCATGCAATGTAATGAATGAATAAGAGTATTTGGTCCGCATCTCTAACTTAACGGTGGGGAAAACAACAATGATCCAAAAGTTGTTGAAGAAGCAACATTCTCCAAATACCACATGCTAGCACCACAAAAGGAACACACACGATGGTACCAGTAGCGGAGTCCGGATTTGAAACTATCCATGCCCTCTTTTTCAAAATATTAATATAATTAAAATTCATAATATTCAAATAATTCATTCATAGATAAAGAAATAATCGACTAATAAAATTATTGTTTGCATAACAACTACAACGAATTTTCATACATTGAAAGAAGTGCAAGATACATTCGTTGTATACACTATTAAGTAAGTCATTTTCAATGTATCCCACTAAACAATCCAGTTCAATTTCGAAACTTGATCTTAATACAACTCAAGCTAAAAATGCCCATTCTACACTTACAGTTGCAACTAGTAGAAACAAAACTAGGTTCAGAAGGAAATCAACTGACAGATATGACTTATGCACTTTTATTTCTACCATTATTTGATATAATTCATCTATCTCGTTCGATCCATGAAATCTCATAACATCATGGTAATATCAAACAAGGTGTTGTCGAATAATAGTATCATGAATGGAACAAATAAATTAATTATGTTTTTGTCAATTATCAAAACAAGTATAATGGTGTTGTGAATATTCTTATATTACTTGTAGGTAGAGGTGGCAATTGGATTGGATTGGTGGATTAGTGGATTGGATTGATGGATCCATGGATCAAATGGATTGGATTCAATGGATTGGTGGATTCATGGATTGGATCAAGTGGATTGGTGGATTATCCATGAATCCAAATGACATCCTCAACCAAGGACCAATATGTAAAATGTGAAAAGTTTAGGTACTAAAATGTCATAATGAAAATTTTTAGGTACCAAAATGTAATTTTCCAATGTAATTTTTCGTATAAAAAATTAAATTTTAGGTACCAAAATGTAAGAAATAAAAATTATAGGTACTAAACCGTAATTTGCCAATGATTCATGGATCCAATCCATGAATCCACCAATCCAATTGGATTTGGATCAAATGGATTGGATTTAAATGGATTGGATTAGTTGGATATTTTTAATGGATTGATGGATTGGATTGGTGGATTGGATTGAGAATTGCCACCTCTACTTGTAGGGGTTGGATACACACAGGGGCGGAGGGAGAGAGTTAGAGGGTGGGTCCCCGGACCCACCTTGGCTCGGGTTTCAATTAGGTACAATAGTTAATCGGCTATGAATAATAATACGTATTTAAATGAAATTGGTAGAACTTTGAAATATTTGATGTATGATTTATAACGAGCGTTGACATATTCAATGTATTTTAACGAGCTATGTACAAATGATAATGATGTATATGATTCGGCCAAAATTGAAGATGTATGTATTCAATATTTACAACAAATTTCCACCAAATCATAATTTATTTGTAAAAATAATTTTATTTCAATCAGGGGTAGGGAGATTGTAACAGGTGTTTCCTAAGGACAAAAATGAGTAAATTAGTACAATAGTTAATTGAGAATGAAATTTAGGGCACTTCTAATTAAGAATGGTTGACCGAGATATCATTTGTTCGAATCTTTGTAACCCCATTTGTTAAACACATGATATTCGGATTTACGTAAACTTTAAGCACGCATAAGTTGGTTGTAGTAAGCAGGAAAAGTGTTAGTAAATACTAAATAGTATTAGATTCATTATTAAATCTTTCCTAACAACTCGAGTTAATGATACTAAACGGCCTTGACGAAGAACACGATTCAAAAGCAAATGTCTAACTAAATCATAAATAATTGTTTGATACATATATGGTGATATTCTTGATAGTTTTGACATATAATTTAATTTACCAAGTTTTTGCAAATACAAAATTATATCATGAACGATTTAGAAAGCTAACAAAATTATTTTATCGTATATATTTTTTCTAAATGGACCCACCCTCGACAAAATCCTGGATACACATATATGTAAATATTTTTTCCTCCCAAATATTACCCCACTCGAGACATGTGTACTATGCGGGTTGGGCTTCGGTGAGAGAGACGGGGAGAAAGTGAAGAAGGAGATGCGCCGCCGGTGTGAGAACACGATAAACTATTAAGGAGGCCGCCGGCCGGCGACCAGGTTTGTGCGCCTCAAGTGTTGCTGCCGCTCGGTGTGAAAAGACGAAAAATGTGAAATCTATTATGGGCCTTAAGTAAGAGTATGTGTTTAGGATGTTGGGCCGAGAGTTTGTGGGCCTATATGTAAATATAAGGAAAAAATGGATTGGCACTCACTAAATATTGGGTCAGAGTTATCAGACGAGAGGCAGTTAAGGCCTAAGGGACAGAATTAGTGCCGACTGCCGAGTATATGAAAGTGGTAAGATGACGATGATTTGCAAATTCCTTGTTTTTTTCGTTACTAATTTCAAATACCAACTCTTTTTTCTCTTCACAAAATCAATAGTATCTAATTATTTTCAAACAATGCTTTCCAACTATTTTTCATTAATATTTTTCAATTATTTATCATAAAAGAGCCGTTATTATTTTGAAACCCAATTCAAATATATGTTATGTTCGGTTATAGAATGACATAATTTGTAACCGTTACTATTGGTGAAGAAAGTTACATAAAATTATCGTTCAAAAATAATATATTACATGTTGGTTACAGAATATATTTTATTTTCGTTGCTGTTGTTGTATTATTATAAGAACAAACAAGAAAATGAAACTTATTACAACTAAGAACGAGATACTAGTATTATTCTATTATAAAAAAATAGTTTTGAATTTACTATTCATTCGGAGGATTTTTTGTAAATAACCATAACTTTAAGGTCATTCTTCCAAAAAGAGACATATGGCATCCTTTTATTGGTTTCTTTTTCTTCTCGCTTAACTATTTTTTATTATATCTCTCCCTATTTAATCTCTCCATCTATTCCTTTTATATTATTGTTTCTTGTGCTAAAACTGATTAAATTTTGTATTTGTTTTTATATTCTTAATATCTTGAAATCGATGAAATCACTCGAGACCGACTTTCGTACTCGGTTATACATTTTACTCATCTCTCTCACTCGATGTTGAATAAAAAAACGATGAAATCACTCACTCTCAATCGAAAGTCGAAAGAGGCATCATAACCAATGAAATAGCTCGAGAACGACTTTCGTTCTTGGTTATAAATTCTACGAATCTGTCAAACTCGATGTTGAATAGAACGTTAACGATGAAATCACTCACCATCAATCGAAAGTCAAAAGAGGCATCGGAACTAATGAAATAGCTAGAGACCGACTTTGTATTTGGTTATGCATTTTTACTCATCTCTCTCGCTTGAGGTCATGCATTTCTACTCAGCTCTCTCACTCGAGGTCTAACAGAAATTAACCTTGAAATCTCTCAGTCCCAATCAAAAAGTACAAAAGTGGCACCGGAAGTCGAAACCAATGAAATGAGATACTAGGTTCTTCCTCATTTTTTTTTTCATTTTGGTTGATTTTTGTTTCTTCGTATCGTCTATTTATCTTTTATTTACTATCTTAGTTGAAAATTTAGGGTGCATTCTAACTTTTATCTTTTTTTTATAAGGATGATATATATTAAATTGAGAAAGAAAGAGAAAACCAGTCTCAACATAGGAAACAAGGAAACCGGGTTAGCCGAGCTGAGCTGGAGAAGTCCCACACAAGAAGGAAAGAGACAAAGTGAACGAACAACAGAGGAAGAGGTCCCCAGAAAACAACAAAAAACAACAAAAGGTAATAAAAGGCATCTTCACTGCAGTATAGGAAACACCAACAGTAAGTGCTTTTGATTCGCGCTGAGGAAGGAGGTCAATCT